CTCTCATGGCAACGGTATATAAAGGGTTTCTCGCACACATTGTACCTTCTTACCATCTTCAAATTCTCTCAATACACAATGCGATCTGCAACTGTTCATCTTCTTCCTTACCTCAACAATGGCGGATTCCTCATCTGTTCAAGATCAAACTGCTTCGTCCTCATTGCTCGTGATCAAACCTAATCAGAACATGATAATTCAACTGAACCCCTTTCTGTATGATTCGTACATGCTCCAAGTTGTTGAATGTCTCAAATACTCTTCTCTGGTTATCGCACTTACACAGATGGAATCTGTACCAATGTCTCTACTATCGCAAGTCTACTCTACTGCCTCCTATGACAAGAACAAGGAGAGGATCTACTTCCAAATTTTCTCTCACAAGGCATCAATTTCGAAAGGGGGATTTTGCTCCCTGTTAAAGCTTGCTGTGGATGCCTCTGTTATCTCTCCGGATTTCGTAACCACAACCCAACTATTTACAATGCTCTACGAGATGGGCTACACTGATGTTCTTACCACAGTGACGAAGGTTTAAAATCATGTTTGCCGCCACAATGGAATGGTTGCTTACTCTTCTCAACAAGGGTTTTGCGGAGAGGGTTGCTGCGTCAGATGGTACCAGTAAGGGTTTTCTGACCATTTTCTATGGTCTCTACAATGGGATTAATCTCGACTATGGGTCAATTATTTGGTCACAAGTGGTGCAAAGTCTCAACACCTCGACGAGACACTCTGAAATTCTTGTGGTCGCTTCTGGACCCATCACAACGAAGGGCTATTGATCTTGCAAATTCCGGTCATGAAGGATGCCCTGTCTCTCTTGTGGCTACTTTTCATACGAAGAAGATCGTCTTCTCTGATGCCACAAAGTTCTCTCACAATGGTTCCATACCTGAGACGATGTACAGGTGTGTATCAGCCGAAAGTAAGGTGATGACTGACTACCGAAAGCTTCCTCCCAAGGAACCGAGAGCATTGACTCCTGAACAGCAAGCTGCTTTGGATGTTGTGGAGAAGCCAGCCAACCGAGGCAAAAGGGAGAATACCAAGAAAGTGACAACCGAAGGTCCTTCGTCTAAGCTGCCAAGTCTAAAAGCGAAAGGCTGAAAAGGGTGATTCTTCGGCTCAAAGAAGGTTAAAAAGATGGCGAAGAAATCCAAAGAGTCCTTCTCCTTCATGCTCAGAGATGATGAGGAGGATGAGGAAGAGGAAATTCAGCATCATGTCACCGAGAGGTAACACACCTCCTCTTCTCCAACTCCAACTGAACCTCTTATGACAACATTCCAACACCTCCTCCATCTCCACCAAAAACCACTGTTCCAATTTCGGTTGCTCCTATTCTACCACCACCACCTACTACATCTCAAACTATAACTCCTTTACCACCTCCTATCTTTTCACAAGCAACCCCCACAACCACTCCTACCACCACCATACCGAACCTCCAGTAAACGTCAACGTATCTGATACGGGGCGAATACTGAAACCGAACCTCCTGTTACTTCCAAACCTCTTTCACCCTCACCCTCAACCGATTCGGGTGCTACTCTCGGTGGTGATAATGTTGAGTTTGACTCGACTTATTATAGTCCCTATCGGCTTCCAACAGACGATGATGACGAGACTCCTGTCTCACGACAACAACTACAGAGTATTGATGAAAAGCTTGATCAATTGCTTGCCTCTTCCAAGTCCTACAACGATGTTGTGCTCAAGGCCTTTCTTGACACCGCTTTGAGCATATACGGGAGCATTGAGGCATCCACAAAGGCGGTTGTTGAAGCACTACTTCTTCTTGCAAGAAGGCCACTACTGAAGTTGCAGAACGTTTCCAGTTCTCAGATTTTTCTGAATCCCTCAAAGGTCATGCTGATTCAAATGCAGCCAAAGTGAACGCTTCAGTTGATTCCTATCCAAGTCACTTCAAGAGGAGCAAGCTAAATTTGAGCATCTTCGTTCTTCCATTCAAGCTGAGAACACTTCTCTACTTAGCTCTGTGACTTCTCATCTTCAAACACTCCAAGCTGATTTAGCAAAGGAGAGTGCATTAAAGGAAGATCTTGCACACCAAGCCTCTACTATAGAAGTTCAGAAAGTTCAATTGGCTCAAGCTGAAAAGGAAATTTCACTGTTAAAGACTGAGCGAGCTGTATTCCGGAGTTGTGCTGGGGATGTGCAGAATATGCTTACCAATCTTCTTAGTGCTCATGATCCTATACTTACTCCGACCATCAGGAATCATCTCACTTCCAAGCTTCTTCCTGCCCTTGCACTTTTACATGAAATGAAGGGTGTTTCGGAGAGATTCGTACCTCCAAAACAAGGGGGAGAAGGTGCTCATACTACTCAACCGAAGGCCACAGTCAAAACCGAACCGAAGGGTAATGAAGCTTCGGGTTCTGGTAATCAAGATAAAAAGAAGAGAATGGCTGATGATAGTGATGAAGAAGAAGAGACAGTTGCCGAGGCCCTGAAACGAAAGAAAAGGGATAAGGAATTGGATGAAACCCTTCGGGTTGCGAAGGAAGCTGAAGAAAGGGAACGAAAGAACAAGGAAGAGCAAGATGCCTTAAACTGCAAAAAGGCCTTGTTTCCTATTTGGACTAGAGAAACACTCATCAAGGAGGCAATAGAGTTTCCAAGCGTGTACTGGCTGGAACCTGTCGCTTCTTTTGATTGTGAAAATTCGAGGGACTCACAGTTCGATATGCCTATAACACGAAAGGAATTTACTTTTCATTGCTTTGATTCGACTGTTCAAGTTCCCTTCCCTCATCCTAAAGTTGATCGCGAACTTATCGATTTTTATCTGAAGTTCGGTCAGCCTCAGTACCTGACATGGAGTGCACAGAAGATTATTACTGTCAAGGTGCTGAAACCTTCGCCTGCTGGGAAGTTTATTAATGTTAGTTTCAAAATAACCCGAGGTTCAGCAAACTCAGTTTCGGTTATATCCCTGGCAGATCTTCCAAACTTGAATCCTCATGATTGGATCTTGTTGTTTAACATACTGCTCACCAATGCGAAAGAATATGAGCCGATCCTGGATCATTTGAAGAGGATGTTGGCTCCTTACATCCATGAAGTTGCTACAATGGATCAAGAGATTGCTAAGGTCTTGAAGAAGAAACCCACAGTAAAGCCAACTGAAAAACCTGAAGATGTGAATAAAATGAAGATGTGTCAAATTGATTCTACACATCTCACGGTGATGTTCACAAGAGGCGAAGCCAATCGTTTTCTTTTCGCTCTTGTTGACAAGCATCTGTTCTCAACAGACTGCTTAGAGCACATTATTAGTATCATTCATCAGTGCAAGCAGAACTCTGAGGCAGACAAGAAGAACTTCACGGACATGCTTCGGTGGTATATCACTTTTCGTCATACTCTTTTGGCCATCATACCGAAGGTGTTCAAGACTGTCAAGAAGTCTTCTATAGCTCAACCGAACTGAGCTTTCGGCTCCATTGACGCAAAGGGGGAGATTGTTGGGTATGTTATGTTGCGTCATGGGCTTAGTATTGTACATCCGAATTGGGCATGTCCATCCGTGATTATTATGTAGGGTTAAGCTATAAATAGTGCATGCATGTATACCTTAGATACGACGTGATTATAGTTATTATTGCTTTGTAAGCCTAAATACCTCTACAGTCGAAGTTCTTAATCGAGCTCTTCTGAGGTGTTAAAGTTTAATCATTCGACGTCAGTTAAACCATTCCTGTGTTCTTAATTACGTCTTTAATTGTTTATCTGCTTAGAATCTATCGATCCTACTAGAACTTTGTTCTAACACAGCCAAAGGAAATTTCCAAGAGATATGTTTGTTGGAAACGGTGAACAATTTCATATAGTGTGTGACCATAGCTAGCAAGTCATTTGTTTCTTCAGCAACTGTTGTGCCAAGAAGCAACTGTTGTCACAAGAGGCCATGCGAAGCTTGGTTTTTTAATCTATGGAAAGTCCAATATAAAAGGTTGATTGATGTCATACTAGAAATCTTAGTAAAATAGGTCATGTTAGACTTGTCTAATAGATGTTGATATATATGCAAACAAAATAAGCAATTGTAACAATTGTAAGTAATTTTAATATAAAATTATTAAAACTTAAATAAAAAGAGCTTGGTCGATTATCTAGAAACTAGTTTGTACCTCAAAGGATCATGACCATGTTACCTGTGTAGGAACATGGCTTGATACATATAAAAGAACCTGGTTTTCTAAATATTATAGGTCACGATTGTTTATAAAGGAAGCAGTATTTTACAAACCTTAATGGACACAGTTTTTTAGAATGGAACCGGGCACATTTTAGTTATATGACCGATCGTTAACCGGGTTCTATCACAGTTTTTATTAAGCCAAACGCCTCGCTACATAAAAACTCGTTCTATAGCCTTTTTGCTGGGCAAATGGAATTGGTACAAAATGGAATAGAAAGTTCCCCCACATGTGCTCAAAACCTCCACACTTGTGTTCCAAACGTTGGTGTTAGAATAAGTGTCTGTGATGGAAGCCTTTGAAAAATTGATGACAGAAGCATATATCGTCATCTTATGAATTACTACCTAACAAGCATGTGCTCTAAAAATTAATACGTACATTGACACATGTGAAACTACTTTCATCCTTAAATTACTACCCCTAACATCTTTCTACCGAATCTTTTACTAAAGAATAAATTTACCAAATCATAGTAAATCAATACAAACTTTTATGTTTTCATTACAGGAAGACCACACATTTTATCTTAATCCATTATACTTTAAAAACCCTACCTGATCAGGTCTATAAAAATAGTCCTTCTTAATGGGGCTAGATGTATAACTTATTACCTTCCACGACTTTCATCTTTTCTTGAGAATACATCAGATCAAACATGGTATACTCTTTCTCCATATATATTTGGAAATGCTGGGTTTATGGTTAACTGGTGTACTTCATCTGTTGATTGCTAAGATTTCTCCCACTTCTTAGTTATATTTTATTTCGGCCCTATATGCAGGCAGGCAATGGCGTACAGGTTGGACCGTGGGGAGGTAAGGGTGGAGTTAATCCCTGGACATTCATCCCTAGTGGCAGGATTTGCGAGATCCGTATCAGCGCCTCAGGCTGTGTAGATTCAATCAGGTTCACTTACAAGGATTGTGATAATGTCAAACACCATTCTGAAACATATGGTGGTGATGGTGGTTCACCTCATACGGTATAGTGAGCTTTCATTACATCTGTTACCTAAACATGTACTGCACTTATATTCTAGTTTTATCATACATCATTTATCATCTATTCGGGTATATCTTCAGTTTACATTTGCTGATGATGAGAACCTCATCGAGATTAGCGGAACTGTGGGAGTATATGGCGGCTACACTGTGATTACGTCATTGTCTTTCCTAACCAACAAAAAGAAGTATGGGCCATATGGCACAACCCAGGGGACTAGTTTCTCGCTGCCAGTCGCTAAGGGTAGCTTTGGTGGATTCAGCGGAAACTACGGGGATTACCTCGACTCTTTCAGTGTCATTCTTCATCCCTATTAGTAACGCGGACCAAAATCATGTATTTGCAGCCTGCATACATGGTTTTCGACGTGGTAACCTTGTCAAAATAAAGAAGCCTGAGAGCAGTGGCGGATCCAGAAAAAAAATATTACTGGGGTCCATCTTATATGAAAAATTAAAAACAAATTTGAACCTAGAAAAAATCTGAAATTTTGAGGTTTCTTTGGGAGTTTTTTTGTTAAAAATATTACAAAAGTATGTTTTTTCAGCAAAAGTGGGTGTCAAAGGGATAATTTCAGCAAAAAATAATTTTTTAAGGGTTGTTTTTCAGCAAAAGTGGGTGCCAAAAGGGATAATTTCAAGAAAAGATTAATTTTTTAAGGGTTATTTTAGTAAAATGTGGTTAATATCAACTTTCAAGTGGGGTCCATGCTGTGGCTCCGCCACTGCCGGAGAGATGTGTTTGTGAAATTGTTGTGTTATCTTGTTTTGATGTGCCATCGTATAATTGCTTTATATTTTAAGATCGTATCTTGTTTCATAAATATAATTACAATAAACACCCTTGTGCACTAGGTGTCTTGATGTACTCTCAAATGCTTTTAATTGTTCAAATGCACTAGGTGTCTTGTGCACTAGGTGTCTTGATGTACACCCTTGTGCACTAGGTGTCTTGATGTACTCTCAAATGGTTGTTTGCTAATACGTCCACCTTGAATTTCGTTTTTGTTTTCTTCATTGCATGGTTGATCCCTCTACAATCTTGTACACATAATGAACGCTATGTATTTTGACTCACGGTATTTCTTTTTATATATGTAAGAAAATTAAATAATAGGAAACATCTTCATAGTCCAGCCGCATCAACACACCATAAGTCACACTTTGCATTGTCCAAACGAGGCTTCAGATGATGATCAGGACATGAAAACCCATGTTTTCTTTCGTCAACCATTACACCAAATAAGAACTAAGTTTATAGGTGTTCTTTCACAATACTAGATAATTCATTATATGGTAAATAATGGTAAATTTTGCTACAATTAAATATAAAACAAGTTGTATGGAATTGAATATAATGAAATTTTTTTTTTGTTGTTTTAAAGTTAGCCATATGAACTAGTTATGGAAAAAGAGCATTTATGACTCTACAATTTGTACACATAATCTGTACACATAATGAGCTTTTGTTTGCCCAAGAAAAATTTCTTCTAATACATTTAAATTCATCCATATTTTTTGTAGCCATGTATGAAAATTAAATCGTGATAACGGGCGTAACAGGAAGCGGTCATCCGTATTTTTTTTATATACATGGCAACGATGGCTGTATTGCATGGGCGCTACAGGGGCATTGTCAACTCAACCGTGGGGAAGTGATACGGCTCATAAACCCACTATACAAGAGTCAGAAACAAACTGAAGTCCATCAAAAAAATTAAGTTTGAAAGGCCCAAGAGACAAATAAAGACACTAACCCATTACAAGGATTGAAGCAAAAGTATGGAACTCCACATACTTGAAGACTTGGCCTACTTCCACTTTTACGATAAAAGCTAATTGCATTAAGTTACGAGCTAACGATTGTTCCTGCATGCAGATTTCCTTAATTTTAGCTAGAACAACATATTTCATGTTTTTGTAAATTGTACCCTACATTTTGGTTAAAGTAAGCAGAAAATTGACCCAAAGTTTCTTGTTCTTACTTTCTCTTAGGAGATTCGTCATGTCAAATTGGCTTGCTATCAATTGGTGCTTTAATTCTCGTTTCAATGCCTCCCAAAAGCTAATCAAGCTCCACCTCTAACAACCCCAACTCCGCCCTCCAAGACCTAATGGTAACCCTTATCCGTCTCTCCATCGCTACCGCCATCAAGTTGGATCAACTTGTCAACATCCTTACAACAACAACAACAACAAAACCAAAAACCACCACACCACCAACGAAGCACCTCCGATCACAAAAATTTCCCTATCCAACTTCAATGGTAACAATCCAACTAGATTGCATTTTCCAAGCGAATAATTACTTTGATTACTATACCATCGCACAGGCTCAACGAGTTGCCATTGTCGTATTTTACTTCACCGTAGATGCCTTGAGTCGGTACAAGCATCTAACCAACAACCGCCTATTGGGCACATGGACGGAGTTATCTCGAGCCTTGGAACTCCGCTCGGATCTTCCATATAAAAGAACTATCAAGCCGTCCTCTTCAAACTTCGACAATTGACCATTGTTTCGGCCTATCAATTAGAGTTCGAAAAAATCAGCAATTGCATCATAGGCCTCGATACCAATGCCCTTCTAAATTGCTCCCTCTCTGATATATGTGTGTGCTGAACTCGATATTGCTGACATTCAGAACGAGTTAGCACTTCATCACCCCACTTCCCTTCATCAAGCATATGGGTTAGTCAAACTCTTATAATATAAACTTATATTTCCAAAACCACACTTTCCAAACTCATGTTCTTCATCTACTATAACATATCTTATGAATCTACCAACAACCACTATCACACCATCAACACCAACAACGACCACTTTCCAATCCATGTCGGACGTCTTACCTACACCAAAACCTCCTCGTCCATTCACCTTTTTATCCCCTATCCCCTGAATCATACAAAAACATCGTGTGACAAGTGTAACCTCCCAAAGTTAATACTCCACGGTTAATAATGTAAGGTATTTTCAAGACTTTAATACCGTAAGGTGTTTTTAAGCGTTTAATATCGTATGATATTTTTAGGATTTTAATACCATAGGGTATTTTTCAAATTTATGATACTGAAAGTTATTAGGGTCGAAAGACGTTTATGCCATATGAAATTCGGTTTGAAGTTTTTACTTATTTAATATCTTATCTCTAATTTTGGATAGAGCCTTATTTTAGCAAGGTATCTGTTTAGTTTGCGAGTGTATTCGGTGGCATGTTCTTGCTATGGCATGAAGACCACTTTGGCACAAGCGGGTTGGCATCGTTACAATTGTCTTTGATGAGTTTATAATACCTTAAAGGTATTTTCGAGATACTTGCGTCGAGTTTGAAGGTTCGTATCCTTTGGCATTTTGGTGATTTGATTTTTCACAATTTTTCTGTCTATGCCATTTGAGAGAGTTTAGTCCTTAGCGATTTTGGCGCTTCTTATTATTCGACTTATGTCTTCTATAGTTTGAAGGTTTTTTGCTGAAGATCGGTTTCGTCTCATGAGGGAGTTTGTTGATAATGATCCTAAACCTTTAACTTGGCTATCAATTTAGTCATATATTAGGAATGTTTCCTATTTCCAAGGTTTTAGAGTTTGTTTAGGACTCTTTGTAAGACTATTATATAAAAGCCACATAGATGTCTTATTTTATTCATTCGAACATCTTCTTTCTCTCCTTTATTCCTTGGAGACTTATCAACATTGTAACCGTTTATAAGAGTGTCCTTTTCATAGTGGTTTTTCCCCTTTCGGGTTTTCACTTTACATCGTAGTGTTCATGTGGTTGTTCGATTATGCTTTTCTCATTAATAGTTGATCTATTTTATAATAAGTGGTATCAGAGCACGTCTACTTTGTAAAAAAGATCGTCTTAGTTATTTGTTTCTTAGCAATTGAAATGAATGTCAAAATGAAAGTTGTACGTAATTTTGTGCTACATGTGATTCACATCACAAGAGGGGTGATTATATGTTAAAAACAAACATATTTGCATTTCTCTTCCATAATAATTGTATGTTGACAAACCGAGCATGTTGAGGTTTTATTTTTTATGGATTGTATGTTTTTTTGATGGTCAGATTTTGATGAAGCATTCATGGATTCTGAAACCAATTAGAATGTCATGATAACCGCCATCGAAACATTAGACTGTCGTGGCAACTTATTGATCATGTTTGCGGTTGTGCAGCCAAAGGAATTTCCAGGAGAAATGTTTATTGGAAACGGTGAATGAACAATTTATATAGTGTGTGGACCATAGCTAGCAAGTCATTTGTTTCTTCAGCAACGGTTGTGCACAAGAAGCAACTGTTGTGCACAAGAGGCCATGCGAAGCTGTGGTTTACATCTATGGAAAGTCCAATATAAAAGGTTGATTGATTTCATACTAGAAATCCTTAGTAAATAGGTCATGTTAGATCTTGTCTTAATAGATGTTGATATATATGCAAAAATATAGCAATGTAACAATTGTAAGTAATTTTAATATAAAATTATTAAAAGTTAAATAAAAAGAACTTGGTCGATTATCTTGAAACTAGCTAGTATTATTTATAGTTTGTACCTCAAAGGATCATGACCATGTTACCTGTGTGGAGGAACATGGCTTGATACATATAAAAGAACCTTGTTTTCTAAATATTATAGGTCCCGATTGTTTATAACGGAAGCAGTATTTTACAAACCTTATATGACACCAATTTTTTAGAATTGGAACCGGGCACCATTTTAGTTATATGACCTGATTCGTTAACCGGGTTCTATCACAGTTTTCATATAAGCCAAAAAGCCTCGCCTACATAAAAACCCCGGTTCTATAACCCTTTTTTGCTGGTGCAAATGGAAATTGGTACAAAATGGAAATAGAAAGGTCCCCCACATGTGCTCAAAAACCTCCAAACTTGTGTTCAAAAGCTTGGTTGTTAGAATAAATGTATGTGATGGAAGCCTTTGAAAAATTGATGACAGAAGCATATATCGTCATCTTATTGAATTACTACCTAACAAGCATGTGCTCTCCAAAATTAATACCGTACATTGACACATGTGAAACTACTATTCATCCTTAAATTACAACACCCTAACATCTTCTACCGACATCTTTACTAAACAATAACATTTACCAAATCATAGTAAATCAATATAAACTTTTATGTTTTCATTACCGAAGACCACACATTTTATCTTAATCCACTATACTTAAAAACCCCTACCTGATCAGGTCTATAAATAGTCCTTCTCTAATGGGGCTAGGTATAACTTTACCTTCCACGACTTTCATCTTTTTCTTTGAGAATACATTCAGATCAACATGGTATACTCTTTCACCATATATATTTGGAAAATGCTGGGTTATGGTTAACCTGGTGTACTTCATCTGTTGATTGCTAAGATTTTCCATTCTTAGTTATATTTTATTTCGGCCCTATATGCAGGCAGGCAATGGCGTACAGGTTGGACCGTGGGGAGGGTAAGGGTGGAGTTAATCCCTGGACATTCATCCTAGTGGCAGGATTTGCGAGATCCGTATCAGCGCCTCAGGCTGTGTAGATTCAATCAGGTCACTTACAAGGATGTGATAAGGTCAAACACCATTCTGACAAACCTATGTTGGTGATGGTGTTCACCTCATACGGTATAGTGAGCTTTCATTACATCTGTTTACCTAACATGTACTGCACTTATATTCTAGTTTTATCATACATCATTTTATCATCTATTCGGGTATATCTTCAGTTTACATTTGCTTGATGATGCGAACCTCATCGAGATTAGCGGAACTG